AGTGAATTTGATATTAGAAGGAAAGAAAAATCTTAGAGTAGTTTTTGAGGTATTTAATATTTATTAAGGTCCCTACCCTGCAGAGTTTCAGGTGATTTTAAGCCATCTATCTAGGAATGTATAAATTGGTCTTGGAATGAAATTTCACCTAGGGAATTTTATGTTATCCAGTAGTTAAGTCTGATTTTTAAAGTTTCCTGTGTCTGAATGTTTCGAAGTGGCGGCTGCTTTTCCATAAAATGAGGGTTTAACTGCAGTGCACAATCTAAATGCAAAATCCTTAGATGGAAATTTAATTGTGTAAAATGTGCACAAGGTAATTAAGAACAAATTTTAGAACATTTCAGACAATAAAGTCCTCCTTCAGCTAGATCACTAGTGATATTGTAAGTGCTTATTTTCAATTTGCAGTTATGCTGAGAAACATGGAATGTGTCTAAATTAAGAATAAAAACATCCCAGGCTTTTCAGTATAACTGTAAATTAAAAAACAACTTGCACAAACATAGACAATAATCTAAGTGGGAGACTTTATTGCGTGAGTGTCCTAAAAATATGTTTTGAACTTCCTTCCCTCAGTCACTTTCTGAAGGGGGTACGGACCAAGTGGCTGTTGTAATTCCAATTAACAATATACAGGCAGAGCCACGTAGAGAAGGCGGTTTGTTAGTGAGGACGTCTGGATTTCCGTCTTCGGTTCCAAAATTGTTAATTACACTGTTGCAACAAGTCGTTTGAATTTTGTCTTCACTTCCCTGCACGTTAAATGTGTGTATTTGAGGACAGGTCAGAGCTGCTTTCCAGCCCTTCTGAGGGCTGCTCAGTGCAGAGGGTTTCGGCACCGAAACTGCCCGCCCTGTGTTCTTTCTGCTTTCCCTTACCTGGTTTTAGGTATAGTTTGATAAAAATCAGCATGCATGCACGCTGTACCTCTGCCTGTTATTTAATAACCTGTTTAAGAAAGTAATAGTTTTTTAGCAAACCGCACACGTCACCACCCCCCAAAAAAATACCCCTGCCCAGACACGTAGTTGCTCTAAAGTAAAATGGTGTAAGAAAGCGTTATTCTGACCTATTTCTTGCTGATATGGTCTGATCCTTATTTATATTTCCATACCAGGCTGGCACTGCACTTCACTGGGCCTTTTTCAAATGATGGCTTTTACAGTTCTTGTGGGGTGGGAAGGTATCCTCAGGGAAATGAGAACCAGCTCCTTGAACTTTAAGCATTCCCTTCTCCCCTCCTTAATATCCAGAGCTACAGAAAATACCGGTCAGTTCCCAAACCTAACTAGTGTGAGCGGAAACACGGTATTTTTGTTATAAAGCCTCAAAAACGAAATTGCAAGTTCCTGAGTTTCTTTGTGTAAATGCAGAGGAGATAAGTTTTTGATAGTGTGTTAGTTTGGTAGTTTACATTTTTTTCTACCCTGCGCTGGGCTTGTGCTGCATATGTTTGTCTGACTTCCTTGAGACAGATGACAGAGAGTATGAAAATCCCTTTAGTGAAGCTCTAATCTGTTTGTTTTGGGGTTGTTTTTTTTCTTTTACTTTAACTGTGACGCTATTTATAAATCTAAATCTACATACAGAGGTCATTGGTTGGCTGAACTTAAACCATTTTACTTAGTAAATTTAATTAAGAAAATACAGTGCAACTCATAAGCAAATGAGTTTTTCCTAGTTTTAAACCAAACCACCCTCTTGAGTGCTGATTGCCTTGCTCGACCCCTGGTGATATAGAAACAGGCAAAATTAAAAAGGACATTAAAGCTTCATTAAATCTGAAACACATTTAGTACAGTGACATATCTGCAGGCTATTTCAGGGAAGATTACATACTCTTTGGTAAGTTTCTTAATTTATAATACCTTGACAATCTTGCAGGGAGGAAACAACTCTAGATGAATCGAGTGATGGTTCAGGGGGATGCAGAACGGGCACGTGATCTGTCCGTGGCCGTATTGCTTTGCAGTTCTTAGTCAAGGAGCAGCTTCACTGAGAAACACGTTTCTGTTTTTAACAGCCCCCAAATAACTTGTTCTTGATGCATTTTGGATTCTTTGAAGCTCATTTGTGTGCCCCGTACTTCCATCTGGCAGAAAACTGCTCTTTCCCCGATTACTCCGCTGCCTTTGGAGCCCCTGCTGAGGTGTGTGGTGGTCAGGGAGAGGAATCATCAGTGAGAATGGAAATGCTTAGTTTGAAGTCATCATCGAGGCAGTGGTCATTTTTCTGCTTAAATAAAACCTGCAGAACGATGCCCTGTGCTTATAGCCATAATCATCATCTTGTTCTACAGTGGGGTAACTTTTACATTCCTACAAGTCTGTAGCTGTTATGGTGGCTATTCATAAATCAGTCATTGGAAAAATCAAGATTTCTTCTACTTCTGTTCGTGGAAAAGTGTTTGGCGTTTGTGGGTTTATTTCTAGGCATTTCTAGGCTATCACAGCCGCAGCGCTTCTTAGGATCTCGAGCACCTTCTTGGAAGCTAAGGATGGTCCTCCCAGAAGAAGAGACAATGAAAAAGGGTATGTTTTAGTAGCCCCCAGTCCTTAAGACTGAGCAGAACAGAAAATGTAGGGTCTTTGCTTATCTGTCCAGCAGTGTATTGCAAAGCCTGCCATCAGAGAGCAACGGGGGTGGCGCTTTGAGTTGGGAGAAGCTGTGCACCAGACACAAGTGGTAGAAGGGATGGAGATCGAGCCTGCTTAGCTCAGGTTGGGCTGTTACAAGGATGAATTTGCTGCGAAGAGCAGCACTGCAGCAGGAACAAAACTGAAAGGCAGAATTCACCCCAAAGAGCTGAGTCTGAAAGGGGAGCCTGGAGGGCAAAGCACAGAAGAAACCCAGAGGAGGAAGCTAGCTTGAACTGTTATCAGGTGGAGAACCTGAAAAGATCTTGCTTGTCTTGTCACCTTGCTCCAGTGCCTCCTGTAAGCCTGGTTTCTTCTACATTCTGAAGGTGTCGGTCTTACAAACGAAGCAAACGCAACGATCTCCAAATGGAAGTCCACAAGCAGATCACAACTTTCAAGGAGATGAGTGGCACAATAGAAATGGCTCAGAAATAACTGCACGTGGTGTTGCTGGTAGGGATCGTTGGTCAGCACCATACCGATAGAGCAGGCCATAGTGGCTCCTCCTCAGTCATTAGGCGAACTCCCTCTGATGAGGTATTCAGGAAAGCTTGGGGTGGGTTTTGAGTGGTGTGTGGACATTTAGATGTACAGTTCCTGTAACTCTGATGCGTCTGTGCAACCAGAAAGCGTTCAGAGGTACCGTACAAACCAAGTAGCCCTTTTAGAACACGCTTGATATGTCTGTAGGTGTTCAGAACAAATACTCTTCCCAATATTGCAAAAGCTTCTTTTAAGAGGAGTCACCAAAAAAAATGATTTCATCTCTTTGGGTTTCTCTTGCATGCCTCTCTTACAGAAATGCTTCCAGACCCACTCTGCTTTTGTAGTGTCTTTCTTCTGAGGCTCTGGCAGAAGTTAGCTGTATCTGCTAAGACTCGCAGCCGAATGACTAGTACGATGCTAGGTTTCGACAGCAGCTGGAATTGCAGAAAGGGCACCATCTCTGCTGTTTTCTGGTTGCTTCCACCCGTGCTGTCAGCAGCTTCTCACTGCCTTCTCTTGGATCTTTTTCCTGTGCTGGTGAGGCTCGAGTATGTCTTTGCCCCATCAGTTCCCCACCTTGCTAGAGCTCTGTCTATGCTTTGTTGTTCATCCTCAGGATAGTTTTGTGCTGCCAGCTGGGCTGGAATTTCACCGTAGGTTAGCACAGCTGCCTCAGCTGCAATCTGTCTGGGTCAACTCACAGGGCACTGAGGAGCTCAGATGTCAGTGGCAATACAGGTGCCGTGAAACAGCTTTCACTCAGCACTGATGTGTGGTTTAGCATGTGCAGTACCTACCACGATGGCTTAGACCTGCAGCATTGATGCTGTTGCTCAGTCTGATGTGACTATTCCTAGTTTATCGTGCAGATAAATCAACGGTAGTAGTGCAGCCGTAACCTTTTGGGTAGACCTCCTTCTGAAGGTTGCTAAGGAGAAGGATTCACGAAGGTTAACCGGAGCGTTGAGGAGCTCATCTGTCTGGCTCCTCTGTAAGCCGTGGAGAGAGGTGGACTTCTCCAGCACGCGGGTCAGAACAGAGCTTCTCGTAGTGCCCTTTTGCAGGAGTCTGTGTCAACGCTGAAAACCTTGCCCTTCACTGAATAGTAAACACGTAACTTAAAACTAGTTGTATTTGGCTGAAACTGTTTCCAAGGTTCAGATACCAAATGGAAAAACCTGAAGTCTTGCACGAAGAATTTATCATAGAGTATTTATTAGCTATGGCATTACAGCGACAGTAGTAGTGTGGTTGGGTCTGACACTGATGCTAGGAATGCATCAGTTGACTGATCAAAACAGTGTGGGCAACAAATCCAGTTGATACCGTGTGCAATGGAAAGTAGATCTGAAGAAAAGACGAACTGTCTTTTTGCGGGTGCCGCGATCTCTCTCCAGATCCCGCTCGCCGGTTGCTAGCTGGGCTCCACACCGGTGAGGAAGCAAACCTCCGCTGCGTAACCCAGATTTTACCCTCAGCCAGTTAAGGAAGGACTTTGGGAGTTCAGTGCATGCTCTGCAATACCTGTTCGCTGCAGATAATTATCAGTAAAGGTCAGTGTCGTTGGCCTCGCTATTGAGGCTAAGCTGGTTTCATTTAGAGAGTCCTCGGGAACTTGGGCATCAAACAGCATTATGGAGTGGTACAGACAAAAGAGCTTGAGGAATACAGAAATACTCAGAAAGGCAGAACAAGGGGTAATTGGTATGAACGACTCCATTCTAAATACAGCTCTCTGTGTGTTTTCAGAATTACTTTTGCTGACATTTTCCAATTTATACAATAGTAAGAGTTGAGTACTTTTCTCTCTTTAAGAAAATGTGCCCTCCATGCAAATCTATATAACTAGACAAATATTATTTCCTTTCCCAGCTTGCTCTTGGGAGGTTTCCATATCCTCAGGTAAGATTGTTCATTACTGCTGTTTGCCACTGTGACATTCATTCCTATGTATGAAGGTGCAGAGAGCAATTGTGAACATTTGAGCCACATACAAATAAATCTGTCCTGTTAAATTGAAAAGTGGTATCTTGAAGGAGTCATTTAGAAGTCTCTATTGATTTTTTTTTTTTTTTTTTTTTTTTTCCCCTCTTCTCCAAACTCTAGATTTTCTTTCCCTGGAGACAATGAAAATTATGACAATGTTAATGATTGTTTTGTTGTGAGATTAAAAAAATAACCCAGGATGTACAACAGTAGTTTTGAAGCAGGAAAGTGTAGCTACTCCTTTTTTATATTTTAATTTTCATTTCCAATTTTGAATAGTGCTACAATGGTCTAAAATTGTCTCAAATCAAAAATATGATGTGAGTGGAATACTTAAGGGAGCTCTGGATTCTCCCTTTTAATAGGACCTCATACTAGCATTTTATTTAGTGACTGGCATTGTCTAACTTCCCACTGACCTAACTCAGTTTCATTGAAATTGGTGGTAAAACTACCTCCATCCTCGGTGGCGATGGTTAGGCCAATGCTGAGCCCTGCATTACTAGGTAATATTTTACTTGGGGGGTGTGTGTGCTTGAAAAAACCTGAAGCTCTGAACAAAACACCCAGTCCAGAAATGGGTTTGTTGGTTACTTGAAATTCTTACTGCAAGATGGATGTTAGAATTCATAGTAACAAACTGTTCTGTAGTTCCTCAAATTATTCTTCCCT